TTCGATTGTACCAGTGCGCTCGAGTAAAAGAAAAAGACTCCACTCCATGTTAAGTGCTGCTTTGAGAATATATTTCCATACAGGATGAGATAGAAGTCTTTTCAGTAATTCATCTACTTCTTTTTCAAACATCGAATTATAAGTACACTGGCCACAGTGAATACAAGTACAAGGATTAGAACTATCCATTTATTTTCTGTTGATGTTGAAAGACTAAAGGATGATTTAAATATTTGGAGTGTAAGCAAAAAAGCAGCAGATTTTCAAAGAAATGTTTTGAAAGCGAAGGACGAACTAAATGGAGAGAGGAAAGAAATAGGGGAGTTTTGAAAAATAAGTTTTTGAAGCAAATAAAGACTTCAAAAGTAACCTATAATTTAAAGGGGAGAGGGAAAGATGTCGGGAAGAAAGACGTGTCCAAAAGAAAAAACAATTTATGGGGTGGGAAGGAAAATATTTGTTGGCAAATAAAGGTAGGAAAGGCCAAAGAATTTGCTGGCGAATAGAGATTATGTCACGTAATTGAGAGGAGGAATTAATAGGTAGAAAAATGTTGATTATATGGGAATGTTGTACTGAAAGTTGTTTTACATACAGAAGGACATTTGCATGTTCTTGGTTGGCATATATTGGTTTAAATTTAGCTACATATTTCAAATTTATAGATCATTTCTGTTGACTAAAAAAATTTTGCGCGATTATTTCACCTCTTTTTTTTCTCTCGAGACCTGCTATTTAGTTTGAACTACAATTTTTTTTTTGGAAGCTTTTTTCAAACAGAGTTTAGTTTGCTATTGTTTATTAATGGATCGTGATAAAGTTCCATGTGAAAATGGAGAAAATGAATTTCCAATGCCAGTTCAAGGAGCAGGTAATAGGGCGATAAATATGTTATATCGATATACATATTACGATCGAGAACAGAGAGATGTGAAGAATTGACGAATGGCGTATACTGATACAACGTGAAATGTATGAGTTGTTTGTTCATTTTGTTTCTAGACGTGGGTGGAATGAAGTTTTGCGAGAAGTGTTAAGGAGTGGAGAGTGGCTGCATCGAGTTGAAAGGATAATAGAAGTTGTTGAGATGTCGAATGAGGGCGGGAATTCTGGAGTTTCTAATGTACAGAGCAGTAGAACATCCATGGAAGATGTTGATTAAAGTTTTATCTTATTGTAGTTTTATGGGTTCATTTGTTTTTGTGTTTATTTTTTTTTTATTTTTTGATTCGTCAAAAAGTGTGGTTTTGTAAAAGTTGTTATGGAATAGACGTATCTATTGAATGGAAGTTCTTTTTTAAGTTTAGTTTGTAAATCGTGTAATAATCGATTAAGTTTTATTTATTTGGTTTAGGCCTGTAAATGTCCAATTCAAATGTAAGTCGTGAGATTTATGGCCTATAAATGTCCAATTCAATTAATCAAACCGTGGCCAAAACATTTGAGACGCAAACTCGACCGAAATACATGTGATTTTGTATGAAGGGAGGTACAAACATTTGAAAAGCAAACTCAAGCGAAATCTTGCACACACCTATTTATCCAAATCACAATACTAGGGTAGACTTATTTGTCCAAATTACAACAGCAAGCTAGCCCATTACATATATTTACGCAAACATGAGTTTGCAAGCATCAATATTATCTGTTTGTTTGTGATGCTTTGCTGTGTTTGCCAAAAGATTGAAGTTATAGAGGTGAAAATGGCTGTACACATGCAATCGCTAAACAAAATGCATGTGTACTGTTAGCCAAAGCCTATGTGCAACAAAAATTTGGAGTATGAAAGGTAGAGAATTTTGCACACACTATCACTCACCAGATTGGGCACATGTTGGCCACTCAGTCTTGCTTTAGATGTTTTGTGTTTGATGGTTTAGGAGCTGGTTGGAGTGTTCTCTTTGCTAAAGTAGCTTTTTCTTCTGTTTGCTTTGACGTGGTTGCTTCGTCCTCTTCAGACATTGGTGTGTCTGTTGGTACTGAACTGTCTACACTGGATATGGTACTCCCTTTTTCAGAATATGGTGTATTAGAAGTTGATTGGGATACTGGTAAGGAGGTAATGATAGTATATCGGATATGGGTGGATGTCTTTATTTTCTTGCTGCTTCGGAGGTGGAAGAATCGTTGTTTGTTTCAGAGTTTTCGATCTAGGTCAGCAATGTCCAGCTTGTTTTCCTATCATTGAGCATTATGTCAATGCAAAATTGGTGGTTAGTCTATTGTAAATGAAGTAAATGGAAAAGTAAAGTATTGTTTTGATGAAAATACCTTTTGTTCAAGCTCAAGAATATCTGATGCCGACATTTCCAAAAGCATTTTCAGCTTCTTTTTCTTCTATGGTAGCACAAAGGCTTCCAGTACTGTCAGCCAGCTGGAGTACAAATCGTAGCCTGCGCATAGAAGTTGTAAGTTTTTCAAGCAAGGTGTTACTGTGAATCGTAGCTTTTATCATACTTGAATGTATGATAAGGCTTGAAAAGGATATCACCTGGTAAAAGTAAATAGGTTCTTAAATGAGACACAACAATCTAAATGTAAATCAAATAGTTAGCTATATATCCTGTTCAGACAAGTGCAAAGAATGGTGTTCTATTCTAAAAGAATCAGAACTACTTTGAAAGAATGGTGTTCCACTGAAAGAGATCCAAACAAGTGCAAAACGGAAGTCAAACTGAAAACTGATTCCCAAAAATGGTGTTCCATTTAATCTTTGTTAGTTAGGAGCTTTAATAGCATAAGCATTTTACGACAGTAACAAAGAAGAATAAAAATGCTAATCATTTCATCAGTGCATCTGGGTCTGTTAAATAAATAGATAAACAGAGGGGCAATTTCAGAGTTTTCATAAGAAAGGAAAAAGCAATAAGAAGAACCGTTTTCCTCTGTTAACATCTCAGTTGACGGTAGTGAGATTAGCTTACATTGGTTTTGGATCCGGATAGGTTTCATCACAGTACAAGCAGGTGAATGTAGTTGGACGAGAAACTCCACAAACTCTTGAGCAGACTGGACAAATGAAGACAAGAAGACGCTCATTTGATTCCTTAATTTTTAATCTGGCTTTTACCCAAAAAGATTTCAGTTCTGTTGACGACTACACACACATATATGAAAGTGATTAGCTGAGATCTATTTTTTTTTTTTTATACAAGACCATATGAAGAGTTGTAAACTAATGTTACTTTATGAGTTAAATTCAACACTTGGCTGATTGTACGAATTTTGGAATCAGTTGGTGGCTCAACAATCTGGTGTGGCTTTTTGTCAATGTAATCAACGATGATGTCATCTACAGTATCCTTGTTGGAGTCTAGCCTGCATCACATATATTTTCACCGTGTAAAACTTAAGTAATAATCAAATTAATGCGTAATAATGAAACAAAGATTGCATTTTAGTTATACCTATCGGAAAATGTTAAGGTAATGAAGATTTACCATGATTGTAGTTCTCGAGCCTGGGTTGTTGGCGGATCAAACAAGATGACAGTACTTCTGGTTGTAGTAAGAGATAAGCCTGCGATAATAATTTAAATTTAAAATCATTACAAGTAATAATTATCAATTAGGTATGACAAATTGTGGAGAATAAAGATATGCGTAATTGTTTTTACCGGGAAAAGTACTGACTGTGAGTCGCATGGCCATAATTATGGGTTTTTTTGTGGATATTGTCCACTAAAACATGGTCTTCTATGTCTATGATTTCTTCCCATAGGTTAAGGGTCATAGGATTGCATCTGCAGAGGCAAAAATTTTGCATCTATCGGTTACCGAAAAATATTGTTGCAAAGAAGCTAAGTCAGATACATTGTTTGGAATTACTATTACTCACTCTTCATTAAGCACCACAAATTCTTGTACATTTTTGCCAAGACTCGAGATTAGGCGAACCGGATGAAAATGTATGATAGCACACATGAAGTCTGAAAGTCCAAAAAATTATCATTCAGGTTCTCAATAATGTTTAGGCATATAAGTTATTGATTTGCTCAGTGAAAAAGTATAGAAAACTTAGCTGATTGGTTGTTAGCAGAGCTTGCTAGTTTTGGACATTATGCAAATGAAGCTAATTCGTACATATTCTCAAGAGGCAATGCTTCTTCTTTACTTGTTCGTTTGATGAACAAACTTCGGTTCAGAACGATTTTGTACTTTGCATCAACCAGAACCGCGTACCTTCTGTCTCTTGGAACTACCTTTCAATTTCCAATGTAGTATGTGTTATATAATTGAATCACATCATTCAGCTTATTGACGTCATCCGTCTTAAACACATTACATTGGATTTTAGTGTGCTGTAATGAAATAATCATATGTTATTATTATAAGAATAAATATAGAAAATGATATATGTTGTAATAGTTGAGATAATTTTACCTCCACGTCAATAAAAAGTAATTTTTGATATAAATTCCCGGCTGCAGACCGTCGAATTGGAGTTTTTTCAGCCACCAATACTTTGACACACTATTCATTACACTTATCATTAAAGCTTGCAAGTGGTATACAACTGGATTCTTCAGACCTGTATCAGAAGAAACTATTAAAATGAAAGCATTGGTCCATGGCAAGTATTAAGTAAACTATGGAATGAGCAAAAACTGAACCTTTAATTACTGGTGTATACGAAGATATGGACATAGCTGCTGTTACTGATGAGCTGCTGATGAGTGACTTAAATCAGCAGATCATTGGGAAACTTGAAGGAACTTGCTAGTGTCAGTGAAAATCCAACTGCCAAAGTTCCTGTTCAAACAATCCGACAAGGTCTCTCCTTCTTGAGGACTTTCTTAGAGCAAACTAAGGAATCACGTGGGAGGAAATCCAAGCACTATGGAACCGTGTTTTGGAGGTGGCCTACAGAGTAGAATTCCTCATTGATCAGTTAGCAGCACTTGGACATATTTCCAGTTCCCTGTCAATTTTATCTGATGTCACTGTAGAACAAATCACAGATATCAAGATTGCTGTGATGAAGATTTCTTATGGCAACAGAAAAGAAATGCAAGTAAAGAAAGTGAAGGCGGCATCGATTCCTCAATCTCTCCAAGGGCCAACCTCAACAAGAAATGAAGAGGTGATTTTTCAGGATGCAGCAAAATCCATAATGAACCAGCTCAGAGGAGGATCACAACAATTGAAGGTGGTTGCTATTTGGGGAATGGCAGGAGTAGGTAAGACTACTTTTGCGTCAAAGATATACAATGATCCTGTTGTTATGAGACATTTTCATGTCCAGGCATGGTGTCCTGTTTCTCAAGTATTAGACAGGCGGAAGGTGTTAATTCAGCTTCTAAATCAGCTTGATGAGATGACTGCAGAAAAATTGGCAGGCAAAAGGAAAGTGTTGCTAGAGCTTTTAGAACTAATTTTGATCGCAAAGAGATTTTCTGACTTGACCGAAGAAGATCTAGCTGATAAGCAATAATTCTAAAGGAGTTTTTAGATCACATGAATAATATGACTGAAGAGAGGTGAACCAGAAATCGAAAAGTATTTCGTGAGCTTTTGGATGAAATTGATCCTGCAAGATTTTATGAGATGACTGAAAAAGATTTATCAGACGATAGAAAAGTGCTAAGTGAGCTTCTAGATAGAATTTATCCCAAAAAGTATTCTGAGATGACTGAAGAAGATTTAGCAGACAAGGTCTGTCGATCTCTGAAGAGAAGAAGATACCTCATCTTTTTGGATGATGTATGGACTACTGACTCATGGGATATATTGCGAATATCATTCCCTGACGATTCTACTAAAAGCAGAATTCTTGTCACAAGTCGGCATCGCGATGTTGCTCCTCCTGCTATGCTCGAGAGCGAGCCTCACTCACTTTGTCCACTTAGCAAAGAGGAGAGTTTTAAATTGCTGCAGAAGAAGCTGTTCCAGGGAAAAGATTGGCCTCTGGAATCCCTCCAACTTGGAATGAAAATTGCGGAAAATTGTAATGGATTACCTCTGATAATTGTTACTGTAGTTGGTCTTCTAGCGACAATGGAGCAAGAGAGCTGGAAGGATATTCTGGATCATCTACGCTCAGGCATCGATTCTAGTACTGAGCAATTCATGAACACCATGGAGGTGAGCTACAAGCATCTTCCCGATTACTTAAAGCCCTGCCTTCTGTATTTTGGGGCATTTCCAGAGGACCAAGAGTTTCTAATGAAGAGGTTGATTCAACTGTGGATAGCTGAAGGTTTTGTGGAAAGGAAAAAGGAGAAGACACTTCAGGATGTTGCAGATGAGTACGTGAAGGCATTGATTGAAAGAAGTTTAGTCACAGTTGCTAAACAAGGATCCGGAGGTAAGTGCAAAAGTTGCCGGATACATGATTTGGTGCATGATTTTTGATCGAGGAAAGCGGAAACAGAAAACTTTCTTCGTGTCTTGAAAGAGCATGACCAGCTTTCAGATTATAATGAGCCAAGCTACTTGAGGAGATTTTGCATTTATGATGAGGGAGATAGCCTGAAGGACTCCAAAATTATTTTGTCCTTGTGCACGTTCACTGATGCTCTTCTCCTATAAAAGGAAGTCATGGTATGAACAAGGCTGGCTTGCAACCTCTTTCATCATTCCCAACTCACGTGCTTGAAGAGTTTGGTCTTGGATCAATGTAAAAATTTGGAGGAGATTCCATGTTGGTTAGGGTGTATATCAACACTTGAGATGATTGATGTTCTTTCTTGCTCTGAAAGTTTAGAAAGTGTAGTCAAAGACATTGAAAAAGTACAGGTGGATGAGTGGGGAAATTCATCATTCAAGATGCGCATTCGATGAGTGAAGAAGAGAGAATTGGAGTTTGTCTTTTGCCTTTTCCATGGAATGGATGGAGAAGTATTCTGTGTTTTCCAAATGATTACTGTGTATTAAAGTAGTTCTTTGCTTGGTGATAATGCCAATACATTTCATAGAGCAGCATCTTTTTTCCACACTTATTTTTCCAGTTCATAGTCAGTAGTTGCAGACTTCAGTGATTGAATGCAAAATTGAAAAAGTTTGGATCTTATCAGTAAAATCATTATCAGTGCATTATTGTTGAAAAGTTCCCTTGATAATTGCAATGCATCACCCTTTTCCATTACATCATTTGATTCTCCTCGGCTGTTGCTTGGATTGATGGATTCATCTGTTTATACCATTCATTTTTTAGTTGAGCCTCAAAATTGCAGAAAGAATATTGCATATGTTACCAGTCAAGTGTTTTAAAACTACAAGTTGCCTCCTGGCGGAAAAAATGTTTCCGCAGGCCTTGGAATACTACAATTTTTGGGTCTTATTTCCATCAGCAGAAGAGCTAGATATTAAAAGCAGAAACTCGGATAAAGCAGTAGATTCAAAGTAGGATAGTAATGCAGGCTTGCAGTGCTGCATAACTACATAACTGACTGACTATCAAATTATTGTATTCATGACGAAAAAGATTCACCCTCTTGACAAAAATATAGAGAATATCAAAGGTAATGGTCATCTGAAATGACCACATTCATGCTCGTCGAGTAAGAAAAGAAAAGAAAAGACACACTATAAAGGAAACGGTAGCCAAACCTCATCGAGCTAATTTGTGGTGCACTCTGTCTGGCCATTTATCTAGTCATTATGGATGAGAAGTAACTTTTTCAACTTGTAGTTTTCACCCGAACGGATTTTTTTACCCATTTCTTGGCTTCTGTATTTGCCTTCTAGAATTCTCGTTGGCGTGGGAATCAGCTGCACGCACGAGAATTTTCCTGTTCTTCAGTTTCAGCAGTTGAAGAGTCAAATGAGTTGGTCTCAAAGTTGCAGTCAAAGAGTGTTTTCATGTCTGAGCTATTATGATTAAAGGGGTCTGAGTACATTCAGTTTGTGCTGCACAACTCTTTTTTTCAGAAGAACAAAACACATCGAATCATCCTAAGTTTTACTCCCTCCGTCCCATAATTATTGTCTTGTTTGAGTTTTCATTTTTAGTTCAAATTGTACTAAAAATAAAAACCCAAACAGGACAATAATTATGGGACGGAGGGAGTATTTAAATAGACACGAAACAAGAAGGGATATCTTACAGATTGAAGTAATTAGTAATCTAGAACCTACTTCTGTAACTGAGCAAATTGTCCATTATCAGTTTCTGTGCTCCTGATGACTCCAGCCTGATTAATGTCTGTTGTGCTGATTTGACAAATGCTACAAGCAGCACCACCAGTTAGAGGAAAGAGTTTTTGAACATGGATATTATTGAGAGCAAGAGAGCAGACATTGTTGGTTTTCAAAAAGATAACCAGCTTAATAAGCAGTCGTCGTTTGCAACTGCAGATTGGAGCTTGCTTGAACCAAAACTAAATCCATCCTTTTCATAAATTACTATTTGGTTCATTAACAACTAAATTGCTAGAGCATGCAAAACAGAAAGACTTGGAATATCCATGTATGATGTTTAAGGTCCATAAAAACTGAGTAACAGCTATGATTCAGAGTCTTACAGGAAATGCATGAATTAAAGTGAACATAAGTGTAACTAATTGGATTATATCTTATTACTATATTAGAAACAAAAACCACACTTAAGAGAAAGCATCACCATTTGCCATGTGGCATTTTCACATCATATTTTTAAAATAAATTTTTATTTTCACATCTCTTAGACTTAAAAAGTAAATGCAGTCCAAATCCACCTCCACCTCCTATTTTCGCCAAAAAAAAAAAACCATGGGTTCATAAAAAATCCAAATCATCATCCCCGTCTCTACCACAATAGACTCCCTAATCACTCCCTTCTCCACAATAAAAAAATAAAAAATAAATTCCTCATCAATCATCAATTAAGAATATGTGGTGAAATATACTCCATTCCAATTAGCATGTTCAATCTTTTCATTATTGATGATCAACTACATCCTAATCCGATAAAATTTCGACTTTAAAAAATATTCTCTTTATCTCTCTATATAAACACAAAGGGAAAAAAAATTCTCATTGATCTTGCTTAGGCCGTTGTGGTGGTGCAATTACAGGTATTAAAATTTAAATAATTTTATTTCTACAGATCATTTGTTTGGCTTTTATTATTTTTTGTTTTTTCCGTTCAAGAATAGTATTATTACTATTATTTTTATGCATCCATCCGTTACAGCTATCGTAACCGTTGTCAGGTAATAGATGTGATTTCTTATATGGTTAGTTAGCCAAGAATTTTTGTATGATTTTAGTTCTGTTTGGATTGAATTTATTGATTGGGTTTTTGTTACAAAATATGGTTTTTTAAATTTGTTTTTTATATTTCATTCAATTAGAGTGTTTTTCTTTTTTTAATTATGGAGTCTCGATTTTTTTTCGTATATGATCAGTTATGAAGTGTGTTTTTTCTTTGTTTAATTACTTTTGATTTTGTTTCATACTTCTAGTTGACCAATTGTTATTATTATTATTATTATTATTATTATTATTTTATTTGAAAATGAAGCGCGTTTTTTTTGTGTTCGGGCTTTCAAGAATATACTTTTTTGGATTTGATTTTTGGACTTTTTTTAGTTCCTTATCATATAAATAGTTTAGGTCACTTCTTCTAATTAATTTATGTGGAAGCCTTTTATGAATTTGAATCGGAGACGGAAGGAATGATGCTTCTACGTTTATTTGTGTTTTTATACAAATAAATTTCTCAATTTTTAATGGGCTATCTTTTAATTTCTTTTATTTTTCTTTATTTGCCATGGTGAGGTGAGTTCTTTTTTGCTATAACTTGAAACCTATGCAAATTTATATTATTTTCATTTTCATATTTGTGATCAACCAGTTTCAACAATTAACCAGTTTCAAAATCATATTTTTGATATTTACTACCCATAAACTTTTGGAAGAAATAGTTCCAATAATTAAGCTTATACCCTTGGGAGGAAACTTACTACAAAGCTATTATAAATCTCCAAAACTAAGTATTGATTTGGCACAACCAATGGAGAACATCAATAAATTATCTTCCTAATATTTAAACTTATTGGCATGCTTTCATATTTTGTCTAGCATTTAATTCAAGACATATATTTGATCAAGTTTATTTATATTTAAGAAGTAACACTTATAAAATATTTCTAAAATCTTCAAACATTTCTAAAATGTACCGGACCAAATACAATTTCTTTTTTATACCAAATACAAACAGTTCTATGATCACACTTATAAAACATTTCTAAATTCT